TGAAGGCATTTAAAGCCCTGGACAGGACACACAAACTTTCTTGTGATGCACCGATCATGAACGTGCTTCCGATGGTTTTCCGAATCCTTGAGAACCGAGACAATCCTGCATCCTGGACCAACTCAGACATCTACAACCTGAAAGTCCAACACTCCGACTCGTGGGTGCCTTCCCACATCAACCCCCGTGGTGGTATTCTAGCGAAATGAAGATGACGGTGGACCTGCAGATGATTTAATGCCAAACAGCATGGCAAAATCATAATCTTGTCGTCATCACTGCCATCATAAGACCAGTCGTGGCAGCCATGGTCATCAGAAGCAACATGATGCTGCTGATGTTGACAACAGCAATCATGGTGATGGATACAGGCAGGCATGATCAAACGATGCCGACGAGGATGATTACACCGAGATGGTGATGAGCGTACTGATACTGGCAATAATGGCGACCGCATTCCGATCATACACCTGTTTGGCGGCTTTGTCCAACGATCATTGTTATTGGCGTGCGGGCACAGCTGGAGGCATCCAATTCAGCACATACCCTAACGTTGGGGCTTTGGGGTATATTATTATACCATATCTAAGGTAAGGAACCCTCAGAAATAATCTTTGTAATCACTCAGGCCCCTGCGTTACACCCTACACGCCATAATGTGCCGGACCCTAAACCCTAAACCCTAAACCCTACACTCTACAACGCCCTAAATCCCAACACTCGAAAAGCCCCGGTCCCAGAACCTCAAGAGCGCAGCATCTGCGGCGGCAAGGCGCCTCACCTCGGGCCGCTGGACCTCCCGGCAAAGACGAAACAGGACGCCCTACATACATGTAGTACATGGTATATAGGGTACATAGGGATAGAAGATGATATGGGGGTATATGACAGGGGGGGAGGGGAGGGGATCCTGGAGGAGTTTAGGGGTTTGGGGTCCGGAGTGTATATTTGTTTATGGGTTTCGGATTGCTATGTATGGTAGGATGGTAGGGGCTTTCAGCTAGAGGGATCAGAAACCTGCCCGGTCTCGCAGTGTCCCGGCAGAAGCCCTGAAGCCCTAGAGTTTGTTGGTTCCGGGCTCTTTGACTATTCAGGGAAGCCAATGAATGATGCAAAAGGATGACTAACTGACTGACATGAACACTCACCGGTGTCCTGCCTTATCTTACCGACCGCTCAGGGACCCGACCTTTCACGAATAGCCTAGAGCCTTCCGCACAGCCTAGGGCTTAGGGTTTTAGAGGGTCTGGCAGATGCCTGTCAGATTCGGGCCTCAGTTCCGGTTGTGGGGGAGGCAAGCGGCATGAAAGAAGGAATTCTTTAGCTATCGAACAAGATAGGATCCTGCTCCGCCAACTCTCTTCCGGCCTCAGGCATCCTGGCACCGAAAACAGAGCAATGCAATAGATTCAATAGGGATATGCAGCTGCCTTCACGGCCACCCTGCGCCCCCGCACGAAACCTGCCAGTGGGGCGCAGAACAGCCATTGCAATCTGTCAATGAAGGGAATGAAAAGATGGGTTCTTCTATAAAGAAGCCGAGAGGCTTCAATCGCAAACTCTCAGACCAACTGTCTGAAGTGCAACAGCCCACACCTTTACCTCCACTTCAAGTCTGGAGACACTAAACCTACCCCGGACCCCAGAGCCAGTGCAGTCCCAAAACGTAAGCCCGAATCCCAACGCGGCACCAGAAACCACTTCAGCCTTGGTAGACTTGGCCCAGGGATGCCGCCGCAACAGGCTCGGCTTCCTGCAAGGACCTGATTCCATGAAGGTAAGCAGCTACAGCAATCTGGGGACGAGAGCCTACCCTACAATCCTGCTTCAATCGCTGCTGACGGCTACAGTAGGCTCGGCCAGTATGCTACATCTTGCTCCTGTTGACAAAGAGACCTTGGACCTGGAACGCAATGGATAGTTTAACCCATACAGTAAAAACAAAAAGCGAAATGATGTTGCGGGATAGAGATTCCATGGCTAGCAAGCGGTTTGCACTGCCGCCACATTCAGAAAATCTTGTAACCTAGTAGAACTGGACTGGGTGTATGCTGTTCTGGACATCTTCCAGCTCCACTTCGCGTACAAGCATCAAAGCTGTCGGCTAGATTGTTGTGCTCGTCGCTGTCAGTAGCTGTGCATGGCTAAGGCACTGCACGCCACCACACCTCAGCCAACCTAGCTAGGCCATGGCTTTGCACGCAGTGTCTCAGTGGCTGTTCTCCCCCGAGGGGCAGACGACAGCAGCTTCGAGGCAGCATGCTGGTCCTTCGAAGCGCGAGGGGCGGTGTGCTAGAGCTAAGAAATCATCTGGACCCTAGGTCCTACTACATTGTAGGCTAATCATGCACACTTGTTCCAACTACCCAGCCCCTCCTCCGCGAGGGCCAGTTCCTCCGAGATGATGTCCAGCGCTCGCACTGTGTCGAAGGGTGCCAGGTCGTCCTTTCTTGATTTTCAGCGTAATACACAACAATCTATGCCACGACATCGCAGAGGTCAAGCCCGAAAGCCAAAGCCAAATCCAACAAATCCCGGACTTCAGATCCCGCCTGAAGCTGAACAAGCTCGTCGGCAATTTCCGAGGTCACAAGATCAGGACCTTTGAGCCCGGGACAAGGAATGATATACGATCGCTGATTGGCCAAGATCCAGCATACTGCGATGATAAAACATATACAGTCGACTGCAGACTCTAGACGACCTCTGCTGGTGCTTACTTGGTGGCGGTCTGCACCTCTAAACGCTGTGACTGAAGGAACTCCGAATGCGGAACCTAGGCTGCCGTTGTCTTGTGAGTCAGCAGCAAGAGCCCCTTGGAGACGAACTGAGTCCAAGTCATCTCCACAGTGTCCGAGGCTTGCACGGGATGCCAGCGCCTGACCCAGCTTGATGTACCTTGGGCTGTACCAAGCCCCGGCTCACGACTTAACGAGTACGGACATGATCAATCGACCTTGGCGGATTGCTGTGCCGAACAGCCGCGAGAGTTTCAAAAGCAGCTTGGCTCCGGATGTCGCAAAGACTCAGGCATCATCAAGCATGGACCTATCCAGGCCACGAAACTCAACAGAAACATAGACACCGGACACGAACACACACACACACACACACTCTCGCGCGCGCACAAGGGACAGGCAGACAAACACGGCATCAGAAACCCAGAGACAAGCGAGATGGCGGCATTTCGTCCAGGCTACTAGAGTGTGTCAGTACGTCGAGGAGGTGGCGAGCAAGCCTTGACCCTTCCTGTTTGATGACCTGATCCATGGAGCTCCTGCTCGAGATCCAAAGCGCCTGAACCTCGATATGGGGGTTTCTGAAAATAGGGGACTCTAATAATATAGCACCCCTAGATAGTAGGATCCTTATTATAAGGACCCCAAAATAAGGTACCCCTTATTTTCGGAAACTCCCATATCCCAAGCTCAAGATTGAACCCCAGGCCCTCTGCTCTCCATCCTGCCGAAGTCCCAACAGCATCGGAAGGACCAAGGCACGAAGGGCCCAACTCGCACAGCGTCGTCAACACCTCAAGGGACCGTTCGGACCCCGTTGATGGGCTCAATTACTTCTCGGGTCCTTGCTGAAGATGGTGCCTTTCGAGAAACCGAGCGGTTTTATATAGGGGGCCTCAACAATTAGAATAGGGTTTTGGGGCCCATTATACTTTTTTTTGTAATAAGGAACCCCCAACATAGGATTGGTAATTCCGCCCCTGCCTGTGGTGCGACTTGCCGGCGGCAGGATGCCCAGGCCTCCCGCACGAGGCCGAAGCTTTAGGAAGTAGGGTTTAGGGTTTAGGGTTTAGGAAGAAGTCCCTTTCTAGCCTGAACTGAAGTTGCAAGGCTTGCCAGGTTCAAGCACACTCAGAATCCGAAACTGGAGAAACAACCAAAAAAAAATCTTCAGCAAGCTCTAACCAATTTGGGAATTGCAGATTGTAGCTAATGCATCCGGGGAGCATGGCTTGAGGAGTGCTGAGGAGTCATGGTGAGTGGCAGGCTCTTCGCCGAAAGCGGTTTCCAACCAAGGTTTTAGGATTACACATTGTGAAATTATTATAATTATTATTATTATTATTATTATTATCATTATTATTGTGACTCATGAACCAGGAAGGTACTCAGCTTCTCCTCTGGCCACTTTTTGTTCGGCACACGGCGGCTGTTCCCACTGGAGATGGTGCAATGCGTCGATGTCTGTACACGACTGCTATGAAAGCAGGCCACATGTTGACACACATGCCAGTGGCTGGCTTTAACAAGCCGCCGCATGAATCTCGAGCAGGCACACGCCAGAAACCAGACCCAAATTCATCTAGGCGCGTTTCTTATGACCTCGACTCCATCATGAGAGGTTCTCTCTTGGGCCCGAAAAAGTGAGACGGCGCTGTCCCTTCCTTGGCTTAGCGGCCAAGCGCTTTGAGGACCGAGGGCCCTTTTGGCATCTGTGTTGGTATCCTACAATTTCGCGGCACATGGAGCTCCAAGATCTATGTCATCCTACAAAGGACGGTACCGTTAGCGATGACGAAGCCTCGTCGAACTTCCTGCAGCGTGATTCCTTGGCTGACCTCATGCGAGATATGATTGCTTCATTACTGTCCCGTACATAGTTGGTATATATACCCCTAAACCCTAAACGGCCCTAAACCCTAAACTCTAAACCCCTTAACCCCAAACCCCTCTACAACTTAGACATTGCAGAAGAGAGACAGGGGTGGGGGTTCTTGGAGCTCCGAAGCCGCCGGAAATGCTTCCAGTAGAAGCTCCCGGCTTTGAGGATCAAAGGGCCAGGTCCCTCGACGAGGCCCTGCGCCAATGCCCAAGGTCAGTTTCCTTGCAGGGTTTAGGGCTTAGGGTTTTTTTTAGGGTTTAGGGTTTAGGGTTTAGGGTTTAGGGTTGCGGTCTCTGGGTTCAAAGACCTCACCTTCCCATCACTTCGATGCTACCAGCATAGATCCGAGCTCCTGCCGTGGCCGCGCGCCCCGGCGTGTCTCAATCTGCTCCATGAAAGCCTTCTCGCATGTCAAGGCCCACTTCTGCGAAGTCCTCCTGGCAACGAAGATGCGGGAACCGTTGAGGGGCTGCCGAGGTCGGATTGCAGGGCTCACTTGGCTTGAGCTTGGATTTGTACAGCCGTGCTGAGCTTTCCATGGACTGGTGAGTGAATGAGAAACATTTAGATCTGCAAGCCTGCGGCCAAAGTCCAAAGCACAGTTGGTGGCTCGGACGTGAAACAGAAGGTCTTTGGGGATTTATAATGTCGAGATCGAAGAAGGGGAGAGCCGCTCTTAACTCAAAACTGCTCCGGGGCTCCTCAGACAAGGGCGGCAACCCCTTCACCTTCCTGAGCTCCAGATGCATCGCACAGTTCCTCTCTCACTGTCTCAGCTGCACCGAAACCGTTGTACCTGTACCAACCCTCCCCCATACTCCACCCAAAGCAAAGCCCTTGAGGCCTTACACCCCTACTTTCTGTGGGCCCTGCTGGCCAGCGTCCGTTTGAGGTTGAAGTTGTGCCACTCAGAGCGGCAGTGTGCCCGGTAGGCCGCGGCGTCCTCGCCGCAAAGGGTGCAGCATCATAGCCACCATAAACTTATCTTTCTTAATCCTCATCGTCAACAGTACCAACACCGCCATCAATCTCCAGTGTCATCACCATCTTCTTCTTCACCATCATCATCATCACCATCATCATTCGCATCACAACTTGCTGCAAGCCATTGTACAGTCGGCCAAATGTCGGCCTCGATATACAGCCTTTCACTCCTAGGAGTACCCTGAGGTCCAGAAGCTTCCATCTAGCATTCGTGGGACTCTTTAAGAAGCTTTTCTCGAAAGCACAAAGGAATGTCAGAAAACTAGGGTACCTTATTTTGGGGTCCTTATTATACTAGTTGGGGTCCTATATCAGGGTCCCTTATGTTCTGAAACTCCCACATGTTCAGGGCATTCGGTCTCTGAGCCATGGGAGGCCGAGACGCCCTTCGTGGCATCCACTGCGCCGTGTCCCTTCCCTAACCCCCCAGATAGGGCCCGAGGGGCTCTATAGTACCCTATATAGTAACCCTAAACCCTAAACCCTAAAGCTTAAACCCTAAACCGACACCCCAAACCCTGCATAGTAGGTACCTGGGGGGGTTTAGGGCTTGGTCATTTCCGATCGCTATGGGGGCCGAACGGCCGGGTCCTCGAAGTCGACTTGGCAGACGGAGCACCGGAAGCCTCCGGCAGGCTTGCGTTGGGTGTAGGGTTTAGGGTTTAGGGTTTAGGGTTTAGGTGCTTTCTCAGAGACTCCAATATCCCTTAAGTAAGGAATAGACCTTAAATTATAATAGGATCCATAATATGATTTAAGGTATATTCCGTGATGAAGCAATATACCTTAAAGTATAATAGGATCCCTAATATGATTTAAGGTATATCCCTTAATTAAGGAACATACCTTAAATGATAATAGGATCCCGAATATGATTTAAGGTATATTCCTTAATTAAGGGGTTTTGGAGGCTCTGCGTTGGGTGTAGAGATATCTCACCAATTCGGATAGAGCACAGAAATCCCGAGCGGAACGGTAACAAAAGACTCTCTGTGACTATACGGATACTACACGGCGTAGCGACCATAGACGAAAGATAACAATCATCACAAGATAATCATGCGACAATAGTCTGAAAGCATCAACACCAACACAAATACTAACAGAAGGAAAAGCGGATATCACGATAATCTTAGTAGGAGGAAGAAGACCGACAGCACGAGAAGCCTGTAGCAGCAAGTAACTATCACTGCCAAGCATTAGCAATCTAAATGCCGAAAGCTATTGAATATCAAAAGCTGCCAGCAATAGCCCATTCAACAGTGATCAGAGCAATGCAATGAAGCGAGCGCAGGATGTAGATCGGAAGCAGGACTTCGGCCCTACATCCTGAAACCTGAGCTCCTCGTGAAAGCATCGTATCATGAGGAATTAAGGGATATACCTTAAATCATATTAGGGATCCTATTATAATTTAAGGTATATTCCTTACTTAAAGGCAGCTGGCTCCCAATCCGGAAACCTGACCCTGAACCCGGGCCCGGAAGCCTTTCTTGGCCGAGGGCTTCTCTGCCACGTAGCCGCCAGCGGCGGGAGCGGGCCGCTCGGGCGGTGCTCCTCCCGGTTCCATCAAACTTGCCGGCTTCAGGGTTTCAGGCTCTGCGAAACAAGAAAATATCCAAGACTTGGACTAGCGAATCCGGAAAAGAGGACCTTCAGACTTCTGGCCCCAGAAGCTTGTCGGGGCAGATGCATGCCTACCACGATCCTCCCCAGCGCCTGACACAAGAAGAGAACCTGCAAAAGGGATTGACCCCAGAGCCACAAGGCACTGCCCTGCCCCTCTAGCGTGACGCAAAGCAACGCCCTGACATGTCGCTGTTTCATAGAGACCATCAGGAGTGTAGCTGAAACCACGGGCAACGCCCCCAAGACCTTGACGCAAACTAAGACCCTGCCAGGCCCCATACCCGAAACACATCGCAAACAAAGAAAGCAGATCGCTGAAATTAGGCCCTCTGTTTCGAACTCTAGGGCTGGAGAAGGGTCCACACTTTATGGGCAAGTCCTTTGGGCAGGTCGCTCGATATCTGCGTCGCGACCTCACAAAGCACCTCAGGCAAACTGCCTGTGACAGGTAGAGTAGTCAGATGCGGCAACACCTGCATGCTACACTTGAGGGAAGAGTTGCCATGTCCGAACCCGGCCGTGCCACTCACACTTAGCAGACTGAGCGTTCTAGTCCATCCTTTCGGGCCAGCCACGGTCTGCGTCAACACCTGCAGCGAGACGTTCTCGGCACCATACACGACGGTGGCCAGTCGGTCCAGCTCTCGGTACTGACCTCAGACTCACACAATGGGTCGTAAATACGAGCACGGTATCGCCATTCGAAGACCCACCTCATGCTGATACTGGCACCCACATATATTTACAAAGTTCCACAGGAGCCCTGTATGTACTCCCTAAACCCTAAACCCTAAACCCTAAACCCTAAACCCTAAACCAAAACCTAAACCCTAAACCCTAAACCCTACCAGAACCTAACACAAGCCCTACTTCACGTGCCAGCGGATGCCTGCTGCTAGCATAATGGCAGAACACCCAAACGGGGGTCTCCGAAAACAGGGGACCCTAATCTAGTACCCTAAATAGTAGGATCCATATAAAAAGGACCCCCAGTAGGGTACCCCCTATTTTCGGAAACTCCTAAACAGCCAGGAGGCTTGGGTCACAAACGAAGGTGATCCTGCTGCAGCATGCACTCTCGCAACCCACGGCATATATGGGCTGGTGGGAAGTTTAGGATTGGGGTAATGCATGTTGCACTGCACTTCACCGCGAGCATATTTCACGGAGCCCTCGAATCCTTCGCAGTTGCTGCAAACTGCAAATGTTACGAGGGGATAAGAAATCTGTATCCTGGCTACCGCTGTTTGGGTTCCTTCAGGGTTGGGCTGCAATTGCTCGGATGCCCAAGACCCCAGAAGCAGAATCTGGGACTGCCCGTGCCTGGCCTGCTTCCCACATTCCCTTGCTCGTGCAATGGATCGATCATACCTACCAACTTACAGTCCGTTTGTCAATTAACCCAGCCCGCCGCAGCCTCGCAACTGCGTCCTTAGTTGCAGGCATCGGGCGCAAGCACGCATAAAGGCATACGCGCACACATGCACATATGCATCCATCCATCCATGTACACCTCATACCTCACAGCTTACACCGTGCCCATGTCATGACTGGGCATGACATTACGTTGCGTTACATTACGTTGCATGACGCTACACCATGCTGGCTTGGAGGGCTTCCTTTCCTTCTCTTGCCTTACTTGACCGTACATTACGCCGCAAAAACAAGCACATATACTCATTCATCACATGAATGTGTGCACACGTGCTTCTATGCATGCATACATGCACACATGCAGACATGCATACGTACATACATAGACCCACACACACACATACATACATCGAGGCAGGCTGGCAGGCAGGCTGGCTGGGAGAGGGACGGAGAGAGAGAGAGAGAGAGAGAGAGAGAGAGACAGACACAGAGCGAGCGTGAGAGAGTTACATGTACCTGCGTACATACGTACATATACATGTACATGATAAAAAGACACCATGAATACAGACACACAGAGTCTCAAACACAAAGGTCCGTATGCGGTGCTCCCTGTCCAGTCTTATCACATATCCTGAGCCTGAGCCTTTTCTTGCGGCTGGGCTACCCCATTGGCCGCCGGTGCCTTCTGGGATTCCTGGCTTTGGGCGCGCGAGCAACCACAGCGTAAACAAACCTGTACTGAACTTTAATTTACTGCCTGGTGATTTTGAGATATCTAAGTTGCTCCAAGGCTGCGACTGAGGCAATGGCTTTCAAATTTCAGGGCTTGCGATTCTCGAGATCTTTACAAACTGTTACGGCTTGGTTCTTGGCTCAGGCTTTTCGGGCCTGCGAGTCCCCGTTACAGAAGTCTCGAGACTCTAGCAGTATTGTTCGGACGACGGAGCCTTGCTCAATGTAACCCGTAAAGTTGATTATACTATCCGCGCATGCCAGCCGCAAAAACCCTCAGTCAGCGTTCCCAGAACTTGCCGCCAGCCATCTTGAGCCGTAGAACCGTAAAACTCTGACACTGGCCTGCAGCACCCTCCGGCCCCTTTTTGAAAAAAACTTAGCCACGCCTCGGCCGAAGCGCCGGGGTTGTGGGACCTGGAAACGTGCCCGTGGCAAAATCCCAGCTTGACTTCGAAATTCCTTAAAGCATCTACTCAATCCCCAACGTCTGGGGGTTTCCGAAAATAAGGGGTACCTTATCTTGGGGTCCTTATAATAAGGATCCTACTATTTAGGGTACTATATTAGGGTCCCCTATTTTCGGAAACTCCCGTCTGGCTTGACGTCAGGCATCTGCCGGTAGAGCTGCAAAGGGCGAACACTGAAGAAGCGATCTGCCGACATGTGCCGTCCGAGCAGCTCGGACTCGATCCTCGGTAGTCTGCAACATGTCAAAGAAGGGGCTGAGGTCTTAAATTATGGGGGCCTTAATATAAATGATTTAGGGTATATTCCTTAATTAAGGGGTATTGGGTTATCTTGCCGGATCTTGGTGGGAATTGGGAACCAGTGAGCACGGGCTTCTTCGAAACAAGCGGGATAGCAGTGAATAAAGCCCCCTGCCAGAAAGGCTCACGAAAGGTCAAACCAAAAGAAATGCCTCTCTGACAACAGACTGATTGATGTCACTGGTCACTGGTCAACATGACTTCAAGCATCATATTGTCACATTGTGCCTTCTGCATTGTCATGTGAGCTTCAGCGCTAGGATTGCATCTAGATTGAGGGTCGATTTTCAGGTGGCATCTCCCGCTGAGAAGGATCAGATGCTCTCCACCGCTCTCAACCCTTCCCACAAGACAACCCTACACACTCGAGCATGACAAGATGCTTGGCCGCACAGACTTCCACGACGTGCTTGCGGATGCTTGCCAGGAGCGACTCCGGACATATCATCCTTAACAAAACAAACAGTCTTGCCGGCAAGAGCCAACGCGTACGTGTCGTAGCTGGTAGTTCGGTTTCTTTCGACATACGAGACACTCCCGGCATGGAAGGGTTCCGCAGACACGGGTTTTGGCTGTCACGAATACCAAGCTCCACTTACCGCAGCCCCTACTGCACATGGGTAGTTCTCAAAATTGGGTACCTTTTTGGGGTCCCCAATATAGTACGGCACCCGTTTACACAAGACCCTCATAGGGACCCTAATTTAGAGAGCTGCCCACATGGGGGTTTCCGAAAATAGGGGACCCTAATATAGTACCCCAAATAATAGGATCCTTACTATAAGGACCCTAAAATAAGGTACCCCCAATTTCAGGAAAAGCCCACATACCCAAAGACCGGACACCCTTTGCGCTCGAAGCAGCTGTAGCCGCATCTTCGCCCGGGCAAAGCTCTCCTAGGATGAGTTGACGTGGGGTTTAGGGTTTAGGGTTTAGGGTTTAGGGTTTAGGGTTTAGGATGTAGGGTTTAGGGTTTAGGGCCGTTTAGGGGTTTAATATAAGGGGCTTAATAATTAGAATAGGGTTTTGTGAATATATCATACGATTAATAATAAGGAACCCCGGAAATAGTATTGATAATTATTGAGGCCCCTATATTAGTCTCGGAGGTCGTGATCTCTAGAGAAGAGGGAAGTAAGGGAAGAGCGACCCTGAAACCAGGCGCATCCAACAAGGCGAACCGCCCATCCAAGGATTTTCAGAGCTTTACCACGAAGACTGAATAAGACAAAGCTGGAGTTGGCGGCGCTGCTTACCAATCCACCAAGTCTTGCTGCGAAATACACAACTACTGTACGCGGCCAGGCCGCGGGCATCTTCGCCTCTAAGGTTTCCATGGCCTTCAGGGCCTGCCTCTTGGCCGCCTGGTCCGGCTGCCTCGGCCAAGGCTCCGAGGGAAGACGAGTCTGAAGGCCCTAAGTCCCTGATGGCTCCAGATTACGCGATCAAGCACGAGAGCCTGAAGACAAAAGGCATGGCCGGCATAAGAGAGCCCAGCCACACGCTGAAGCCCGTGGACTTCAGCGCAGACTCCACCGTCGGAGCGGTGAGCTGCCGGCCCGTCTGTGGATGCACGCAGCGTTCCACAATGATCTGCACGATGTCCTCAAGAGCTCAAGCTCAGCCCGCTGCGATGGGGAAAGAGAAGCTCTGGAAGCGGCTGCGGCTGGTTACCCAATTCCTAGGCGAGGAGCTTTCCAGAGACCCTCCATGTGGACCTCCCGCTCTCGGTCAGACACTTGCACATCACCGTCTTTGAGAATCTTCTTGCAGATCCTTGGCTCGGACTCGTGTCGCGGAGCCTACCGAAGCTGAGAGTGAGAAGCTGACGAAGGGCCCTTGAAGGAGCAGTTGGGAGTAGTTCGAGTCTCTCAGCTCCCCGGCACCCGGCAGCCAAGGCTCTCAAGAAGATCCACGGTTCCGAAGGCCTCAAGCGGCAGGTGGACTCTTTTCAGTGACAGGGATTTGAGGTCTGGTGAGGCAAGGAGCCTTTTGCAAGTCCTTCTCCTTGGCGATGATCGCCTGGTAGCTTCGGTCGTGGACTTGACGTTAATGGAGCTCGGGATGAGTTCGGGTCTTGGGTTTCGGCCTCGGGTTCTTCAGAGTTCCCAGGCGCCCTGGCCTTAACCGCTACTAGCTCGCCCTTGGCCCTCTGCCTTGGACACGTTGGTGAAGACCGTCTCGGTTTGGAGAACCTCCTCTATGTCCTTCAGGCCAGATAAGCAAAACCAGTGTGCTCTGAAGACATTAAGCCGAAAGGATACAAGTGTGCCAAGCTGCCCTACTAAGTGAAAGCCCAAGTCACTCAAAGCTCCCTGCCCTCGCTGTGCTGCCAAATCCAGCGAACCCGGTCCTTTTCGATCCCCTCACGCCAATTCAGCACCTTGTTCTTGTAGCCTCAATGGCAGAGTTCGAGGGTTCTGCATCAAGTAAACCGGGTAGCCGAGGCATGGCTGAAACTTGAAACAGCTCATGTGGTACTGGAATGGGTTGCGCACCTAAGGCACTACTTCGGTACAATGTTTGCGAATGCCGTCTTGCAGAAGCCTGCGAGGCTAAAGCTTGCAAAGACCCATCGGCTAGATCCCCTGCAATTCGATCATCGCAGCCAGGCAGCATGCGATCTCGAATCGGATGCCATGTGTTTTCATCCCTCAGCCCGGACATGCCGTTGCTGGGAGAGTTTGGCGAGTCTGGCTTTCTTATTTTGGGACTGATCCATTACTTTAAGGAATAAGGCAACGAGCCCTCAGCATTTTCTTCGTTGGCACTTTGGATTTAGGAAGTTCCTGCTGTTAACAACACAAAAACTCCCCTCAGCAGAATTCGGGACATCGGTGTGAAGCCAAAAGAATACCAGCCCTCAGCATCTTGCAACTTTGACCAGGGCCTGAGGAAATTCTAGATAAATTAACAATGACAAACGAGGTCTCAGCAGTGTCCTGTTCTCATTAAGGATTGTTCTCATTAAGGATGCTCCGATTACTTTCAAGACCTTCCATTTTGAGTTGAGCCCTGGCGGGGAGTCCCCTGCAGAAAATAAGAAACTCAGGGTACCCTGCCCTCCACATGCAAGCAAATATTACAGGACTCCACATCCCCAAACCAAAAATTACAGGACTCCACATCTCCAAACCAAAAACTTGCACTTGCGATCCAGCGGCGGACTACGGCTACATTGGTGAGCCGCTTTTGGCCCACTGGCAGCTTCAGTGCCATGGCGACGCAGGCCGACGCGTTGCCCGAGTGATAAAGGATTTTTCAGGTTGACACTTGACACTGACGCAGTATTCATTAACTACAGACAACGCAATCCGGGGTCAAGAGACGTGTGGGCTAGGGCTGGGGGTAGTGACTATAAGTTATAGGGCTGGTGTGGCTATTGCATGCAGCGGACATTACCGAAACTTGGCCTCTACAATTGTCTGCTTGGGCGAGCAAAGCTGCAAGCTACGTATCCGAGAGCTGCGGCTCAGCGTCTTGATCTTGCACGGCTTGCCCGGTGCCGCTCACCCGCTCGCACGCCCCCCCCCCACCCACGAACACAAAGTGCTTGTTGAGCTTGTCGCCCCGGGACCGCTGAATTCCAGCTCGGGCACGTATGCCCAGAAAGTAGCATGAATCCGAAGATGCTGCTGTCTCCGGGTTGCAGTTGCTAATTGGTTTTGTGCTCGATGCCTCATCCTCAAAGAGAACAGTGCTCTAGCCCCAACTCACTGAAAGAGAACGAGCCGCACTGCGGCCTCTGCCGAAGGTGACAGCTTCAGCGTTGTCCGAACAGCTGCCGTCAATGTGGCAGCCTGAAGTTCTGCAAATTCTTACTACATGGATTTATTTGTGGTGTAGAGTTTAGGGTTTAGGGTTTAGGGTTTAGGGCGAAGAAGTCGCAACTGACTTGCTACATGCACAGAAATCTACCAGCAGCCCATCTTTATGTCATGTTTCAGGTCTCATGACGCGTCACCTGCCACAGGTCGGCACTGCGATAACAACCTGGCATAGGTCCTACCCATAGATGACTCTACCTGTTGAGTAGGTTTAGGTTGCACGGACTTCCAGGATGCATTTGCGTCTCTAGCCTGAAGTGGAAGATGCTACAAGCTCTCACGTCAACCCGACAACCCTCAGTCCGAGGTCCAGACGGCAGTAAAGGTCAACAGCCCCAGCACGGACTGAAGCAGGTGGCTAGGAATCAAGGAGGGGGACCCAAAGGAATGAGGATATTGCAGATGCCAAATTAAATTCCAACGCTTCTGGAGGTTCAGAAGTGATGCAAGAGCAACTCGAAATCTAAATCGAGCAGCTGGGGCCTGTGCAGCACTCTACAGTGTCTCAGTATGTAAAGTTGTGTACAGCTCGGTCTTTGACAAAAAGATCCTCAGGACAGCTTTGAGCAGTGAGGCGGAACAAGCCATATATACAGAAAACACCCAGAGACAGAGAGAGACAGACACGCACACACACACACACACACAAACACAGACACACACACACACACACATATATATATATATAAGCCGGTACAAGCTCTGCACAAGCAGAAGTCGAAGTATTGGTCGTCGTCCTACTGGTCGCTGTCGGTTTAGCAGTTACAGGCGACAT